AGTTTCCAGGGTGCTGCTTCCCCAGGGGAGATGGATCTGTAAGGGCTGACAGGAGCAAAGCAGAGTGAAAACAAGCCCTAGCACAGGAAAGGACAGACTAGGCCTTTTGGGTGTGTGTGTGTGTGTGTGTGTGTGTGTGTGTGTGTGCGCGCGCACGTGTGTGTGTGTGTGCATGTGTGTGTGTGTGTGCGTGTGTGCGCATGTGTGTGTGTGTGTGTGTGTGTGTGTGTGTGTACAGAAGAAGAGCCTGGATTGTTGAGCAACAACCCATCTAAAGGGAGCTCACCTCTGCTGGGGTGGAAGTTGAAAGGGAGTAAGTGAGACTTTCAACTTTTGCTCTTTGCTTTGGAGCTATTTGCCCAACAGGTGGCTTCACATGCTTCAAATGTCATGTTTTTAAAAGACACTAAATATTGTTTTAAGGAAGAGAAAGCCATCCCTGGTCTGAGGAGCCAGAAAGCAAGGCTATCATCCAGATTGGTGGAGGATATATTTGGTTTAGGATCTGGGATGAGCCTCCAAGTTTCTCTGAGCCTCAGGGTCTCCCTGAGAGATGAGATCCATGGATAGTTGTGAGGCCTGGGCAGCTGACAGGCTCAATATCTGGTAACCGTCCTGGGCCATTGATGCATTTTTTTTAAAAAAATTAACCCCTGTGATGAAAACCCTCAGGATTTAGTCTACCTCTTAATGGTGTGGCTCTGCCAGCTCTCCACAGTGCTGGAAGTTGGGCTGTTGACCTGACATTAAGCCAGGATACTACTCAAGGCCTGGGTGGGCACATTTTTGCTATATGACTTACATGTTCCCTCCCAACAAGGTTCCATTCTCTTCTATAGATGATCTTGTCCCCCATTCACCAAGGGACAGATGGCTCCCAAAACTCCAGGGTAATCAGCCTGGCCTGATGGCCTTTCAGGCCTGCAAGTCTCCCCTACCCACCTTCGTACACACACCTCAAACACTCACACAAACACACCCCTTCCCGATGTTACCACTTACCATCTGACTCAGCTGGCCAGCAGTTTGAAGTTTCCTAGCTCCAGACCTTGAACTCCCTCCTCCAGCCCCACTGTTGCCATTACCAAGGACTCTGTTCTAGACTTTTCTCAGAAGAAGAGGAAGTAAGTACTCCAGCCTTCAGCCCCATGGCCACTTGCTGAATCCAAGACTGCCACACGGGGGAGGCAGAGAGCAGGAAGAGACTGAAAGCTTTGGGGAAGAGGCTGAATGACCTGCTTCTAGCCCTGGTGTCCTAACAAATCCTCCCCGCCAATAGACAGCCACACACCTCTTTAAAATATAACCTCTAAAGTTCCCATGAAAATCATGCTTATAGCCAGGTGCCGGTGGCTCACGCCTGTAATACTAGCTACTCAGGAAGCTAAGATCTGAGAATCGCAGTTCAAAGCTAGCCCAGGCAAGAAAGTCCCTGAGACTCTTATCTCCAATTAGCCACCAGAAAACTGAAAGTGGGGCTGTCACTCAAGTGGTAGAGCACTTGCCCTGAGCTGAAGAGCTCAGGGACAATGCTAGGACCCAGAGTTCAAGCCTCAGGACCGACAAAAATCAATCAATCTATCTATCTGTCTGTCTGCCTGCCTGCCTGCCTGCCTATCTATCTATCTATCTATCTATCTATCTATCTATCTATCTATCTATCTATCTATCTATCTATCTACCTATCAATCGATCTGCCACACCTATAATCCTAGCTACTCTGGGAGCTGAAATCTGAGGATCATGGTTCAAAGCCATCCTGAGCAGGAAAGTCCATGAGACTTTTATCTCCAATTAAACACCCAAAAGCCAGAAGTGAAGCTGTTGCTCAAGTGGTAGGGAGTTCAAGCCCCAGGACCTGCACAAAAATAAATAAATAAATAAATGGAGGCTATCAAATGGAATGGAATTGTGATTAATAGTAGCAGTAACTTGCATTTGTCTGCCTGTTTTAGTTGTTATTGAGAGAAAAGGGGGAAAGCTGGTATTTTGTTTTTGAGGTAGCATCTAACTAACAGCCAGGGTGGCCCCAAACTTATGATCTTCTGGCCTCCACCTCCACCTCTAGTAGCTGCAGTGACAGGCATGCACCACTATACATGGCTATATTTCTATTTTGAAGCTCTATTATTAGGTGAATTTTACAATGATGTCCTCTTGATTAATTTATTCCTTTTTCATTATAAAGCAACAATTTATCCCTGGAAAAATTTTTGATCTAAAATCTGGTCTGTCTCATACTAATATACCCACTGTAGTTTTCTTTTGATTTAGCATACTATTTCTTTATTCCTTTATTTTTAGACTATTTGAATATTTTTATTTATGTATGTATCTGTTTATTTACTGGCTGGAACCAGGGCTTCAGGGATCATGACTGGTGCTCTATTTGAGCGACACTTTCACTTCCAGCCTTTTTCTGGTTATTTGGAGATAAGAGTTATCTCAGGTTTGTCAGGCTAGAACTTCATTTCTCAAATCTCAGCCTCCTCAGTAGCTAGGATCATAGGCATGAGCTACCAGTACCCAGCAATATTTGTGTGTTTACACAATCATGTGGCTCTTAATAACAGAGATAAAGAGAAATGCATGGTTAAGTATATTGATTTTGTCAGGTGAACATCATCGATTGGACTTCATAACCTACTACACATGTGGACTGTATGGCATAACCCATTCCTGGTAAGCTACAAGTGTGTATAATATATTATTGTACTGAATACTGTGGGTAACTGTAATGCAATAGAAATGCTGTGTCTCTAAACAGAAAACATCAGTAAAAATGCTAGGTGATAGGAATTTTTAACTTCATTATAATCTTATGGGATCAACTGTTGTACCTATGTTCAATTGTTGACTGAATCTTTGTTAAGGGAGCACGGGACTGTATTTAAAGATCTTTCCTCCCTCCGCCCCCTTCCCTTTCCCTCTCCCACCTTCCCCACTTTCCTGATCAGGCTAGCGTTGAACCACAGTCCTGACTCTCAGTCTCCTGAGTAACCAGGATTACAGGTGTGAGCCACCAACAGCAGGGCTCATCACCAACTTTAATATAACTTCCCATTGAATGTCCTTTTCTCTAAACTATAGGAAGGCAGTGATGGTGTCTTCTTCCTGCCAGACTTGGATACCCAGACCCATGCTTGCCATGTAGAAAGTGCTTGATGATTATTTGTTGAACGAGTGAATAGGCAAGTAGAGCTTGACCCGGTATACTTACTTGATCATCATGAGCCAGCATATGGTTAAACGGTTCTGTGACTAGAAACTACCATGATCAGAGCTTGACAGCAAGGGATGGAGAGACTGGAGGAGGCAAAGATAAGAACAGGGCAACTCCTGGGAGGCAGGAGTCATTTGCAGTCATTTAGGCAAATGGCATTTGTCGAGTTAGGAAATCGTAGTAGGGGAGAGTGAGCAGCAGCCCGGTGAGGTGGGGCCCACAGAGCTCCATTTTGCCTCCAATGCGGCTGTGGTGGGCAGGGCACATACTCACTGGGAGCTGGTGTAATCCCCATCTGGAACTACCTGAGAGAAAGAAGTATACAGGTCTGTCAGGTGTGGCTGAAAACTGTTTGCAGGACACCAGTCCTCTGGGGAGCCGGGGCACACTGGGGGCACACTGGTGACGGGGGGGGGGGGGAAGAAGAGAGGACGGGAGTACAGGCAGACTGAGACCGTGGTCTCTACCTTGTTTATGAACTACAGTTTCAAGCCGTGTGGTTATGATGAGAGTAATCAGGGCTCACCCACGAGGCACAGAGTGTAGCAGTCAAGGGCTCAGGGTTTTAGAGTCCAACCCCGCTGGGTTGGTTTAGTTCTGCCATTAACCAGGCTGTGTGGCAAATAGGAAAGTGATCAAACCCACCTGATTCTCCTTGTCTGTAAAACAGAGATAATAATGACCACTTCCTTATATGTGTCTTGTGGGGATTACATGAAATGATGCCCAGCAAGTTAATCATACTTGTTAATAATTTCAAAATATGTAATGTGGGTTGGAGAGCGCTTGATCCCATTTTCAGCCTCTGCCCCTCAGGTGGGGTGTGGGGGAACCACCTGAGCTCCAGAGTTGCTCAGGTTGAAGCTGGGATTCAAAACCCAGCTCCTGACTTCCAGGAACCTACAGACCCAAGGTGGCCCTGACAAGGGGTTTCAGCCTCATGCCAGGATTGCATCTGAGAAAGGAGGAAAGCCTGAAACAGCGCCTTCCATCCTCTGATACGCTGAGTCAGGGGAAGCGACCCACATATTATTTCTGATCCCCAGGGTGCTACTGTGGATCTCAGATTCTTCATCCTGTACTTTTGCAAGGCATGCACTCTACCGCTGAGCTACCTTCCCAGCCCCTCATCCTGTACTTTTGGTCCTGCCCTTCTTCCTGGGCCCAGGGACAAGAACAATTCGTCCCCATGTTTTGTGAGTTACCCCCCTCTCAGAGGTTGGGAGGCTCCTCTATGCCAGTGTTGTAAGGTAAATCATCCCAGAAACCACACTTAAAAATATAGAATATTGGAGTCTTTATTATACAGTTAACAGGCTGCAGGCCGCCAGTTGTTGCAAAGGCCTGTAGCACACAAATACACATAACACAGCTAGGAAACATGCTAAGGAGGAAAGAAAGAACAAGAACAATACCAACAAGCCAATTCAGCTCCAGTGGAGAGCTGAACTGGGAAGCCATGATGACTGAAAATGAGCCAGGAGACACATGTGGCATGGAGCCATCAGCTAGGCTGGTCTGGGCCTAAATAGGTCAGCACAGGGGGGCAGGCCCAACAGAAATTCCTAGTCCCAGGTTTACAGGTTCAGTAACCTATACCTATCCGCCAAGTGCCTGCCCCTGCCTTCAGGGGTCTGGGCACGCCCATTACCTGGGAGGCAGGTGATGGGGGGTAGGGGGAGAGTTTCCTTCCCCCAGCATGAAGACAAGTTGCCAGACCCTACCATCCACCATGTGGCCAATATGGCGCCAGCCAGACCTGGCCTCTGTACTTTACCAGGTTTCTCTTACCTGGGTCAATCAATACCACTGATGATTATTCCTAAAAGGGAGGGTTTTGACAGTTGTTCTTAATCACTCAGGGGACTCCAGTCTTGTCTTTGAGACCTTAGTGTGTCAGTCTGGATTTGTTTTCCTCCTAGAGGCTGGCCACCTTGCTGTATTGCTGATGATCTTTATAGATTTCTTTGAGTCCTAGGGACCCAGCCCAGAGGCTTGTCTGTCTGCTCACTTCCTTCCCGCACATGGCATTCTTGCAAGCCCGGATTTTGCACAGGTGTAGTGGCACAGGGACATTCACGAGGAGTTGGAGGCTTTGAAAATTATGAGGTGTGTTGGAACGAGTTCCTTCCTTCCGTTTCTTCACCTGTGAAGTGGGTACAAAACCTGTTCTCAGGATTATAGAGGAACGTAAGTGAAGCAATGGGGTAGTAAAAGAGTTTTGAAAAGCTGATTCAGCCGCAGCTTTTCAGTGTACACCATGTCCCAGAGAACTTTCCTCCCAGGTATGGCATCTAGGGAGTTGCTCACGAGGAGGGACTCATGCTGGCTCCTGGGGCACTTTGACTTGGAGTATGAAAAGGTTGTTATTAGCTGTATTGTTCTTTTGAATGGAGAAACTGTGGCTGCTTTACACAGCTCCCTGTGTGACTCCCAGGGATCCTTGGAGGCCTTAGAATCTGGTGCTTGTTTTGTCCTTAAGTATTGGATTCCCCCTGAGCAAGGAGGGAGGTTCTTTTTAGGAAGAATAGAATGTTTCTTCACTGGCTGGACAAAGCAGGTCAGTCGCTCTGGCCCATCGATCACCAAGAACTGTCTCTGCGCAACCCAGCAGACTGACACTGATTTTGGAGGCTGATACCAACTTCCTTGACCTCTTCAGTCTCTAAAATACCCCTTTGAAGACAGGTCCAGAGCCTGCTTTCAACCCCATGTGTGTGAAATTTCCACAGCTCCTGCAGCCAGGAGTATGGGCTCAGATCTGTGCCTGCCAGATCTTTCTGGGAAAGCAGCTGGGTGGGAGGATGGAAGAAAGTTGGGTTGCAGTTTGAAGCTCTCCTGAGCACCGACAGATTTGGCTAAGGGGGAGACGAAGAGGCTCCTCATAAAAGTAACCAGAGCTTAAATAATGGAGTCAGCAGCTTGTCATCCAGGGGTCGAGTCTAACTCTTCACCAGCTTGTGTTTCCCCAGCCCTGGATTGTCTCAGAACTGCAGACAAAACTACAGACACTTGGAAAGAGTTCTGATCACCCCTTTGGCCCCTCCCAGGCCACCAGAGTTGCTCTGCTCTGCACTTCGGCGCCCTTCATGATGGCAGGCTCTACAGGCTGTTTGTTCTCCCTGGGACTCCACACCCCATTCGCTGCTGTATTTAAAGCTGGCAGAGTGCCTGCCAAAACAGTCTCATGTCTGTTGAGGGACAGAATAGCATGGTGACTAAGTGCATCTAGGCCCCAGAGTCACACATATCTTGAGTCTGATTCCAGCACCCAAGTCCTGTTTGCATGACTGGAAGCCTTGGAAAGAATGGTGATTACAACCGGAGGTGGTAGGAAGGCTCCATATTTGTTTTGAAGCATTCAGCTCTAACAAGGAGACAGTTCCTTCATCTGAGCTGAAGTTGGTACTAAGAACGAAAGAGCTCTGGTGAAGACCCCTGTGGGCAGGACTGTTAGGAAAATGCAAAAGTAACCTGGGTGGTGGCTTCAGTCCTTCTCCAGTAACAGAGGACCAAGGCCAAGCTCTGTGGGTGAGAGGGTAGACTGAGCCAACCCTGCATCGCTTTGCATATTATTTGCATATGCCTTTGAGATCCTGCAGTGTCTTTAGTATTCTCTCCCCGCCCCCCCCCCCTGCTACTGGGGCTTGAATTCAGCTCTGCCTTGGCTTTCTTGCCAAGGCCGGTGCTCTACCATTTAAGTTATACCTCCGCTTACAGCTTTTTGGTGGTAATTGGAGATAAAAATCTCACATACTCAGATCTCAGCCTCCTGAGTAGCTAGGATTGCAGGCGTGAGCCACCAGCGCCCGGCATTGATTTTGACCTTTTCAAGTTAAACTCCGGGGTAGGGGGGTGGGGTGGGGTGCTGGCTTCGTTCCTCGCCTTGTTGCTTCTCTAACCACTGACTGACCCGGTTGAGAATGGGGGCCGTGGGAGGGGGGGTGCGGATAGAGTGGAGCGACTTTGACAATCGACAGGAACGAAGGAGGTGGGATGGGGCCCCGACCTTGTACCGCCTTCCTCCATGGGGGAACCTGAGTCACCGTGGGGGTTGAGAAACGGCTGGAAGCGCAGAGGGAATGGCCCATCCCGCCCCCAGCCCATCCCTGCATCCCCAGATCTGACCAGAGATGCCCGAGGTCCCCGCCCTCCCGCCCCGGGTGGGGGGGGGCTCCCTGGCGCCCAGGGAGTGTGGGGAGGGCCGGGGAGGGCGGTGACCACCGAGCCGGGCTTTGAGGAACCCTGCGAGAGGAAGTGGCTTCGAAGCGCGCAGCGTGGGGCAGGAAAGGCGCGGGCGCGGGGCGGAGGTGTGGGG